CAGGGCCTCAAAGGTTATAAATAAACGATCAGGGAACCAATGAAGAGAAGCTTTCGCCGGGGCGATATGTTCACACTTGTTTGTTAGTAGGGATGCACGATATTGGATTTTTGGCCGATATATTAAAATTTATTTGACAGATAACCGATACTGATATTTTATATACGTTCCTTTGTCAGAACATAACTGTCTCATTTAGGCTTATTTGCTATAAAAATTGTGTAACAGCTGTAAGAGCCGGTGACATATCTTCAGTAACAGCCATATAAAATGCATAGCACTTTAACTTATATTAAATGAAAAGTGTTAAATGTTATTTATTAGCATTAGTCACCTGCGATGCTGTCTCACTAGTGGAGGCTTGTTCCAGGTTCCTAGCTGCAGTGTGGGATCCTGTGCACGCTTGTGCATGAAGGACAGCCTTCGTAAGGTCAAAGTTTTTGTCTATCCATTGCGATGTAATCATGCTAATGGAGCTAACACAGGACGTCCAAATGTCTGTGGTAAAACTCACCCAAGTGCTATCGGCTATTAGCTCAGGGATTAGCTCAGGGATCATTTAGAGGCAAGTCACCCAAGCAGAATGAGCTCATTTTAGTTTTGACGTATGTGATCCATGCTGGTAAAATGAGTCAGAATCAGGAGCAAAGGCTGCCGTGCAGATCCGAGAAAATATCTACAAAAATACTTGCATAATGATGAGTCCACAAAGAGACCACTCAGCGATCTAAATAACGTTCCATATCTAACTTTTAAGTCAACGTTTTCTAACAGGTCTGTCTTCAGAAATAATCTTTCTTTCCTCTGACATTGACCATTTTTCTCTGCTGGTTGCCGTAACACCAGGAAATCCCATCATATAATTTACCCTTTTAAAATAGGAATTCTTGAGGACATCACCCCACACCAATCAAATTCAAGTGCTTTAATCAGCACTCGCGTTAACAAAACCAGCCTGTCGCTGGCTCGGAAATTAACTTCCAGATTTTAACTTTTTTTATATATATCTTGTTTAAATCATTTGAGCTGGAGAATTTGTAAATAAAAACAACTCGATACTGAAAAATTTCTCAATGGGACTCATTTTGCCAACACGGGTCACATATGTATGGAGGACGGAATGTGACAAAATGAAATAAATAAATACACAATAATGAAATGTATCATTCAGTTATTAAAAACATCATTATATAAGCATTTAAATTGTTAAATACACCATGAAATATGCAATTAAATTATTAAATACACAATTAAATTATTTCATGATATATTTATTTATTTCATAATTTATTCAATTATTTAATTTTGTCACATTCCGCCCTGGGGCAGCACGGTGGCGCAACTGGTAGAGCTGCTGCCTCTCAGCGAGCAGGTCCTTGGTTCAAACCCCGGTCCAGGGGCCTTTCTGGGTGGAGTTTGCATGTTCTTTCCGTGCATGCGTGGGTTTTCTCCGGGTACTCTGGTTTCCTCCCACAGACCAAAAACATGCATGTTAGGCTGATTGGTAACTCTAAATTGTCCCTAGGTGTGAGTGAGAGAGTGAATGGTTGTTTGTCTCGTTTGTCTCTATGTGTCCCTGTGATGGACTTGCGACCCGTCCAGGGTGTACCCCGCCCCTCGCACAGCGATTGCTGGACATGGGCACCAGCGACCCCCGTGACCCAAAATGAAATAAACGGGTAAAGATAATGGATGGATGGATGGACATTCCGCCCTCGTGTCACCATGAAATCATGTTAACTGTCAGTCTCACTCATCAAACTCAGTGGGCGGGACTAACGCTGGTGAAATCCATTGCTTTGGTCTCACGTCAGTTCAAACATGGCCGCTCCCTCCATGCTAAGGTGGCCAGATTTCTGAAGTTAAATCTGGGGACATTTCCTGCACAGAGACAAAAAAAAAATGTTATCAAGACGTAATTAAGAAACGGGGACAGGTCCGGTTTCGTTTATTGTTACATATTTATTCATGTTTAAACAATAAAAAAAATCAAATGTAGCAGCAGGAATGTATCTCTCCACACTGTTGTTAACATTTCCTAAAAAAAATGAATTAGGGCGAATAGTGGTCGATTTTGTTTTGGCTTGCTGTGAGGAGCAGCCAATCAGACGTCAGGGTTAGGGTTAGTCCCGCCCACTGGGTTTGACGACTGAGGCTGACAGTTAACATGATTTCATGTTGACGCTGGATGGCAGAAGGAGATAAAATTAAATAAATCATGAAATAAATAATTTTAAAGGTACATTTCATTATTTAATGGGGTATTTAATTATTTAATTGTATATTTAATGATGTATTTAATAATTAAATGATACATTTAATTGTTACGTATGTATTATGTGTTTATTTATTTCATTCTGTCACATTCTGTCCTCCACACATATGAGGTAGAAAAAAAAATCATGATAATTATATGTCGGCGCAAACTAGCTAACACTTTTTAATCCTTCGTCGGGAGTCTCATAAAGCGCTCGTTCCCAACATCGATGTTTTCTTGTAGCTATTTTGCTCCTTTACTTTCATTTCATTCTGACTCGATGTGCTTTCAGTCATTCCCTCCATCGTGACCCGGTCCAGCCAGGACCTTGTTTTCTGTTCTTGGACTTCACCATTGTCCAGCTCTATTGTCATGGCTTCACTCTCACTGGTATGCAGAAAGCCAGGGCAGGGCTCGGCCTCCGATACATTTAGAAACTCTAATACAAACACAGGAATTCCTGCGAGGTCCTTTTCACTTTGTTGCTCTCAACTTGGGAGGAATTTTAGAAACAAGTCGACTCCTACGTGCCCCTCAGATTCTTGTCCTAACCCTGGATCACTCAACAGAAGCTTCATATTTCTTCAGCTCTTTGCTCTTCATGAACATAAGTACATGTTTTAAATGTGTTTAAGGTTTTTACAAGATGCAGGAGGTTGTCAGTTCTGTTGATACATTGAATTGATTTTTTTTTTCAACAGCATCATCTTGATTTGTTTTATCTCTACACCTTTCCTTTTGGATACAATCCAATTCAAAATGGCTGCAACAGCTAATTCATTTTAGCCAACACAAAAGTTACTATAATTCTGTCAAGCTTACAGACTTTGAGGTAAGATTTGGTCTGGTAGTAGCTGAGAGTCATCCACAACACATACTGTGACATTGGATTGTGTATAGTAGTCCCTCGATTATCACGGGGGTTACATTCCAAACGCCCATGCGATAGGTGAAAAACCATGAAGGAGGAACGCTATATTTATTTTAGTATTTATATATTTTAAGGCTTTATAAATCCTTCCCACACTCTTGATGTTCTAAATTCAGACCTACCCTGCAGCGACGAAGTCCGCCGCCCCTTCCAGGTTGATGTGCACGTGGATAGCTTCAGGAAGCTTCAGGATTATTTGTGACTTTCCTGCCAATTCTCTGAGCTTCATACCAACAAAGTCCATGCTCAATAATCCAGGTATACAATCCAACATTTTTCAGTCAGGTCATCTGGACTGTTTCTTTTTTTTGTGCTGAAACGTTTCACCTTCCATCCAGAAGCCTTCATCAGTCAAGGAAACACACAACAAAACTGATTCTTCCCCCAACAGCTTACTCCAATGTGGAACAAGCCAGTTATGTTGGTGCTAAGATGGTGCCTTTGGCACGCCCCCTCCTCCGGTGCCGGCCCTCTTCCTTGTTGACAGCCGTGTCAAACTGGTTCAAAACCATCAAAGTCCAGAAGAATCAGTTTTGTGTTGTGTGTTTCCTTGGCTGATGAAGCCTTCTGGATGGAAGGTGAAACGTTTCAGCACAAAAAAATGAAACTGTCCAGACGACCTGACTGAAAATTGTTAGGGTGTGAGCATCATAGTTAGCGTAGATTCTCGTTGCAAAATCTTCCCTCCATTTCTGCAAAAAGCAGCATCTGGAAGCACTGTTGGCTTCTGGGTAGTGTAGTTCTTTTTTACTGGTGTTACAGTATAGGCTTATTGAAAGAAAACTACAATATGACGGCGCCTGTCCAAAGAACCGTCCCGTACCATCCCAGTCACGTGAGTAATACTAAAGTTGGCAATCGTTGAAAAACCATGAAAGAGCGAGTTCGCAAACGTCGAACGGCAAAGTAGCGAGGGGCTACTGTACAACGTTTTCAAGGTTTTTATTTTCAAGGAAAATATTAACTGTGAACATAAATGATCTTAGTCCAAAACTCTAACAGGAAAGGCAGCGGGCGATGTGCAATCCTCTCTCTCATTCATCTTAACAACATCGGCTTTGATTTTTATTTATTGATTCATTTTTATGCTGCAGCCTCTTATTGTTTGCCAGCAAAGATCATTCCGCATGTGTGTGTTTGTGTGTGCACGTGTTGTTTGGCACAAACACCCTGAAAGAGAACTCTTAAGAAAATGATGACCTCATCACAAAAGCTGAGGACTCCCCTCCAGAAAACCCTTCCTGTCTCCCGTTTGCTCGTCCTCCCACGCTCCCTCCGCCTCAGAAAATACAAACAAACTGCAGAAGACGAGAGGAGAATGGATCCCACTGAACTATAAATAACTCCATCAAACTGTGTTGCTAAGGCTGGCTCAGCAGCTATTCTCTCATCCTTCCTCACCCTTTTACTCCCCACCTCCTCCTCCTCCTCCTCCTCCTCCTTCTTTAATGGTTTCTTCCGTCTCTCTGCCTCTCGTTCATTGAAATGACTCTGCTGTCAATATTCTTGTGCTGTGCTGCTGAATGTGCTCCATTCACAACATTTCCTGACTCCGTGTCGTGTAACAGGACCGATGAAGAGGACGCCACTCAGCAGGGCCTGCTTAGGTTTGTTTTAACACAAAATGACTTCAAGTCTCCGCATTTTCAAAGGAGGTGAAAGAGTTTGTCTGGATTCTGAGTGTTTCCTCTTAATCTTGAGCAAAAACAGGAATGATATGGTTTTACTGGAGGGGTTAAAGCAGCACCATCTGCTGGTTAAGATAAAACACTAATTGGCTTCATTGATGTTTATTTTTCTTCTGCCTTTCAGCAAAGTAAGACCAAGGAGGAAGAGGAGGGGAGCACTAAAAACCTGTCAGAGGAAGAGGTGCAGGCCAAGATAGAAGAATACAACACTCAAGTGTCTGAAAATGGCATGAAACTGGTGAGTTTTTATCGTTTTTCTGGTCGTATTTCATGGGATTTGTGTTTTTTTTTCATTTGCTCCTGCAACAAATCATAATATCGATTTAAAAATTGATTAAATAAATCAAAACTGTCTCACTCACATTGCTTTTAATTGTTAAAAAATACATAAATCTATCACAAAGTGGCAACGCTGACAAAAAAATTCAATTGTGTTTTAACAATTTTTTAAAAAATAAATATATACACATTTTTAACACCAAGATGTTTTTCATATATTTTCTCATGTAATAATAGAAATTATAAGTAAATCACCAACACAACTACAATTTAGAAAGAACTTTCTTGCCTTTTTACTAAATAAATCCTCATATTGCTCTTTAATTTTTTACATACAATGTAAAGATGAATCTTTAGACATACGAAAATGTAGGTTTTGTTGCTTCCTGACACCTTTTATTTTTTTGTAGGAGCCCCTAAATGGTATTTTTCAAAACAAGGTTCCAGAGTTAGAGAATGGCTGAACACCACTTTTGCATTCTTGCGAGGACAAATTAAACACAACCTTTTGAAACCAATACTGTCCTAGTGCCACCTCTGGCCTGACCTCCGACCCCGACAAAGACAGATTTATGTCCGTGTTCGTGCTGACGAGGCAGATGAACGTTACGCTGCTTTGACTGGAGCAGCACAAAAAGCCCTTATCCCCTTCACCATGAAATAATTTGTTTTATCACTTTAATGAGCTGCCAACAACAACGCTGCAGCTAACGGTGGGCTTAAATTTCAACAATGTGCTTTGAATGTGCATTTTTTAAAATGTGGGGAATATAGTCGCGACCCGACTTTGGAACAAGCGGAAGATAATGGATGGATGGAAATAGTTTACAAGACTGAGACTTGTGTTTTAAAATCTTACCCTTTAAATATTATGAAGGAAACTCCTCCTCCCGTCTCTCTCCTTAAAATGGTCCATTATACCACTTTATTTATAAAGCACTTAAAACCGCAACAAGGCCAACCGAAGAGCTGCACAGCAAAAACAAAACAAGCAAAGGACACATAGATCCAAATAAAGATAAGAACTAGAATACAGACAAGTTAAAATCAGCTCACCCGTTGTCAAAAACCATGAATAACAGTGAGTTTTCAAATGAGACTTGAAGACGGTGAGAGGGGGAGCTGCCTGACACGCAGTGGTAACTGGTGCCACAGCTTTGGACCTGAAACAGACGTCCATGTATGTCCGTACATGTACACAGAGGTGGAAAGAGTACTGAAAATTTGTACTCAAGTACATGTACTGTTACACTGTTTAAATTGTCCTCAATTACAAGTAAAAGTACAGGTGTTATAAAAACACTTAAGTAAAAGTACAAAGTACTTTTTTCAAAAACTACTCAGAGTATTAGTTACTTTTTAACCAATTGATGTTTTATTGTGTTGTCAGTAGAAGTCATTCAGTTTGATTTACTGTATATAATCGCTACATTCAAAGCCCATTTCTCAGACGCTCAGAAGCTCCGTCTTATTTTAGTACCAGTTAAACCGATGGCAGTGACAACATCTAAGATCTTTGCATACTTAGCCAAACTAATAACCCACACATACAAACAATAAAACATCAATACAAGTAGCTGTAAAACGTTCTATACCACAATATGTTTTTTGAGATTAGATGCTGAAGTCTTGTAAGCTGTTATCACCGTAGAGATCAAACACAGTTTGCATCTGGACGCCGTCTCCTTTTCACCCTCTGTACATGAAACATTCCTCCATGTATGACCACGGGCACTCGTCCTCAGCCTTTACCTCCTCATTTTCTCTGTTGACAGTGTTGTCCTCTGTCTCCATTTTGTCTTTTTCCCCAAATCTTTTGTCCATAAATGACTCTACTCTACGGAGTTGTCCTTTGCCTACGTCATAGGTAATTTGCGCGTTCGTGATCTGAGAGCCTTGTTGGCTACAAAGATGCAGATGAACGGTTCGAATATTAATTTAAATTGCGGCCGTACTCAGTTGCGACTTCTGATTTTAAAAGTAGCAAAGTAGATTACATGGTCTAAATTGTACTTAAATATGAGTAAAATTACACACTTGAAAGAAAAACTCATAAAAGTACAAGTACCCCAAAAAATCTACTTAATTACAGTAATGTGAGTATTTGTAATTTGTTACTTCCACCCTTGCATATACCGGTACATGTATGGAGTATGTCCATGTATTTGAACCACCACGGACATCCTGAGGCATTTTTGGAGACCCCTTTGCAAATCTATTCGCAGCCCAATTAGATACTACCTTGAAGATGCTAGGAACTTAAGAACTGCTTTCTTTCTGGTTTATATTCATCTGATTAGCCAGAAGAAAGTGGAAAAAGTGATTCTAAGGTCTCTTGTCTCACATACGGTTCCTGTTATGGTGTTCATGCAGAACTCTCTCCCCTCTCGACTTCTTGCTCGTTTTTTTATACGCCCATCAAAGGAAGACGTATTACGGCAGGGGTGCCCAATACGTTGATCTCGATCTACCGGTCGACCGCAAAGGCATTATGAGTAGATCGCATGGCATTAAAAAAAGTAGACGTCAGTAGGCCTGTCGCGATAAACTATAAATCAATCGCATGATGAATGAAAATTATCGACCTCATTTTCATTTATCGGCTTTATCGTTTCTTCATGTTTCTCTCTTTCGATTGAAGGCACTGGATGACAAAAGGCTCAACTCCGGTGCTCTTCACTGACCCCTCCCTTTCTCTTTAAAATCCATTTGAACCGTCCAAAATCACATTTTTGGCTTGTTAAAAGCAGCTAATCTGAGAAGCTAAGCTACGAGCTAAGCTAACAGGCTGACCTCGAGAAAAAAAAACTCTGTCTTGTCAAAGCTCCAAAATTCACGGTTGAAACCCGTGCCTTCGTCTAAAAAGTTGTTTTCCTCTGCAAAAAGAAGCTGAGAACTTGTTTACTGATTTTTTTTATTAAAAGCTTTGCGTGAAAAATGCTATGCTAAAGAGCTCGAACCACACCGAGTGTCCGCCATTTTGAGAACCGAAAAATAAATATTGAAAAAAACACTAATGTTTCCAGAGGTTGTTCTCATGTAAACGGGGCCTTATAGTAGGCAGATCACTTTGACGTGGTCATTTCAAAAGTAGCTCGCGTGCTGAAAAAGTGTGGGAACCCTCGTATTACGGTAAAGTCTCAGTTCGCTCATCCATAAACTTTCCTTTGTCCCACCCATAACTTCTGATCAGCTCAAGACAATTTAGTTAAACTTGAAACACATTTGTACCACCACTAAACAGCATGTTGCATAATCTTCACCCCCCAGCTCTGAGGTTAAGGTCACAAATCAAGGTCATATATTATATAAGGTCTCTGCTTGTCCAGGCCATTGCTATAGATTGCTGTATCGCTGTAAAATAGTATAATGTGCCATATGTGATTTTCTTGTTTTTCTTTGCCAGGCTGCTGATGGGTCTTACACCGGTTTCATCAAGGTCCACTTGCGGCTCAGTCGGCCCGTCACGGTCCCCGCCGTGAAGGCGCAAAGCTCAGAGGGCAACCACAACCCATCAGAGGACCAGGACGAAACGGACTGTGGGTACGCAGAGAAGAGAACGTCCTTCTATTTACCGTGCGACTGCGTGAAGCAGCTCCACATCAGCTCTCTGACCACCACCAGGGAGGTCATCCAGGGCCTGCTGAAGAAGTTCATGGTGTTGGACAATCCCCGCAAGTTTGCATTATACCGGCAGACGCACCGCGACAGTCAGGGTGAGGGAAACGCTCCGGTTCCACGTTGTGGAAAGCGTGTTTTTCCGGCCGCATTTCTGAGAATTTGTTTGTGTTTCCGTGCAGACTTGTTCCAGAAGCTTCCTCTGTCGGAGCGTCCTCTTCTGCTCCGGCTGATTGCAGGACCAGACACAGAGCAGCTCACCTTTGTCCTCAAGGAAAACGAGACTGGGGAAGTAGAGGTGAGAACGACCACCAACGTCCATGATTATTTTGTCAGCTGAAAGAAACTAGATAATGAAAATGAATGGCCGCCCTCCTCTTTGTCTCGCAGTGGCACGCCTTCTCAGTCCCCGAACTGCAGAACTTCCTGGTCATCCTGGAAAAGGAGGAGGCGGAGCGCGTTCGAGCCGTGCAACAAAAATACACCATTTACAAACAGAAGCTACAGCAGGCCCTACAACAACATGACCCCTGACCTCATGTCTCCAACCTGGAGACAGGCGGACCGTTTGAACTCTGACTCCGCCCCTTCCCAGAAAGACCCCGTGATCAAGTCACCTGAACTTTTTAGGCTCCTTATACACACACAAACGTGCAGACGCGGGTGCACATCGTTTCTCAGGACGTACACAAGCCCTCTTACTGTACATCACACACACACCTGCGCTGCGAGGGCACGATCTGGACGAGTCTTTCATTGCCAAGGACACACACAGATCTGGGCTGGACCTCCAGCTCGTTTGAGACGCATAGAAGTCGAGATGTTTTTAAAGATTTCCCGCTCCTCCTTTGCGACTTCTGCTGCTGCTGCTACTGCAAGTGTTACTTATGCATGAGTATGTCTGCTCATCCGCCCCGCACATAGAGTTTAGGCTAAGAAGGCATGGTTACTTTTTTCTGCATCAAACTGGGACGGAAGGACAATCAGACTGTGCTCTTTTATTTATTTGTTCTTGAAAACAATGCGCCGGCTATCATCGAAGGGGTTATTTTTCATGCTGGATTTTTAGGGGCTTTGTTTCTTTTCTGCCCACCTAAAAGCCACGTTAAAGAGTTAGCGCCTGTCTTCTTCGTTTCTCCTCCGATACGCCCCATCCTGACACTTTCAGGAATGACAGCTGTGTTACTAGTGTTCCCATTTCCCCCTGAAATCCTGGTGTGAGGCTAAGAGAGGCATCGATGCCGATCCACTGAACGTGGGAGGACTTTGACACCAAAGCTTATATTGGCAATTTTATTTAAATGGTTTTTAAAAGGATGAGAGGATTTAAAGATGTAATTCAACAGGATATATTATAAATAAAAGCAGCTTCTGTTTTGCACAAACAGGCCACAGACAATTCTTGGGTGTTGGCCGTTCATTTATTATATTTTCTTTTATATTATTATAATTTTTTGTCTTCTTCCCACCTTCCTCCACAAAGAAAGAAAAATATTTAAAGTTGATGAAAATGGCTATGATGTACCAATGATGTGTTTGCAATGCATATATGTTATGTAGACACTGGAAAAACTAAAAGAGGGACAAGGTTGAACTTAGATTTTATTATGGGTCTCATTCCTACTGACTGGAGTGTGTGTGTGTGTGTGTGTGTGTGTGCATGTGTGTGTGTGTGTGTGTGTGTGTGTGCGCATGTGTTTTGTTTGTTCTCAGCCTTCAGGCCTCACTTATTGTTTGAATCTTTATGAAGCATTCACATTGTTTTGATCCATTTTTTTTCTGTACATTTTTCAGCATCTTTCTCGTTCCACAATTTTTGTGCTATTTCAACAAATCGTATCAAAACGTTCGGCTCGTTCAGGAGAAGGGTGCTGTGACTTTTGGTTTTGATGCAACTTTAGCTTTTTGAAATATTTAGCCTTTTCTGCCACTTTTTGTCTCATAGAAACTGAATTGAGCTCATTTTACATCCTTCAGCTCTTTAGATCTGTTTACAACCTTTTACTGCTCCTTTCACGTTTTTCTCTGGTTCGGCTTCTTTCATCTTGTGCAAATTTAAACATTTTCAGCTACTTTCAGCAAATGTCAGCTGTTTTGTGATCCTTTTAGATTCTTTCTGCTAACTACAACATTTATGTGCTTCTGCTAACTTCTTTCTGCTAATTTCAGCTCCTTTCATATTTTTTTCTTTCAGCTACTATTTAGCTCTTGCTAATTTTAGCTTTTTCAGCTGATTCCACATTTTATTAGCTCATTTTAGTTCTTTCCACTTCCTTCTGGTAGTTTAAGCTTTTTTATGCTTTTTCAGCTACTTTTCAGCAATTTTTTTTGGTGCTAATTTCTGCTCATTTAAGCCTAATTCAGCAAATATGTGTTCTTTCTTCTTTCTTCTGCTAATTTAGGCTCGTTCTTCCATTTCAGCTACATTTCAGCATGTTTTTTGCTAATTTCAGCTGTTTTTCAGCAATACGCATTCACACTGAATTTTCGCAGGAAATGCCGTTTCTCTAGTTTAGTTTTTGAAGTTGTGCTTCGAGCTGTTAAAATAATAAATGAAGACATGCATTGTTCAATGAAAAGATTTCATCTTCTTGATATTTAGGATCAATAAGTGAGGCCTGTTGAGCACGTGCTCCTCTGTGAACACACACGTGTGTGTTTTTATGAGCACCATCCTCAGCTGTTCCTGCTGGCAGTGCCTTTTGTTTCACCCCCCCACCGTGTGCCTGCGGACATGGACGGGTGTTTACTTCTTTTATTTTGCATGTGTGCAAAGTTGCATTCCTTGGCTGGTGCTGAACTCCTTCCCCCTTTGTTCCCATCTCAGAAACGCTCGTCGTTTTCCAAGGAATCCTGCGTGGAGGTGTGTGTGTGTGTGTGTTATTTATTTTTTATGTTTCACAGCCACGTTTTGTTGATTTCTCCCTGTTTTATTTTGTTTTCTTTGTCGAAGCGTGTATAAATATGTGAGTAAATCTGTACAGAATATTCAGATGAAATAAAAAGTTAATCCTCATGTTCAAACTCTCTCATTTCTTTGTGTCCAAAGCAAACGGCAGCAACCTTTTTGACTGTGTTCACTGTGTGTTAGCAAAATATCTCACGAACTACTGGATGAATTTTAAAGAATATAGCAGGAAGTAATAATTGCAAGTACATCTTAAATTTGTTAATTGCTGGAGCCAGCCCGATACAAAATGGCTGCCACAGCCATCTGACCTTAAAAATATATAACATGTCTATAACTCAGTCATACAGCTAATGTGCTACAATCTTTGTTAAAGTTTTTGCTATTTGAAGTCAACTCTGTTAGGAAAATATCTCATGAACCGTACAGATTTGAATGAAACTCTTGGAATGTTATCACTGGAGGTATATTTACAAGTCAATAACTTTTGAAGCCAACCAATACAAGATGGTGACCATTCCCAACTGACTTTGGAAAACAAAAAATAGCTCTAATTCAGTTAGTTATTAATTAATTAATAATCGTTATGTTATTAGTGCGAGTTTAATAATTGAATTTGATCAGAATAGGCTAATTGGTTGTTTAAGTCTGTGCCTCCCAACTCTGGTCCTTGAGGAACGCCATCCTGCATTTTTTGTCGATCCTCTGCTCCAACACACCTGATTCCGTGCTTTAATTAATCCCCCTTTCATTCAAATCAGGCGTGCTGGAGCAGAGGAACAAATGAAACATGCTGGATGGTGTTCCTCAGGGACCAACTGGTTTAGGTTTTTTACTCCAGACCTCAGCGTGTGTCGCCTCCAAAGCACCAGCAGGTGGCGAGACCTGATGTGGATCAGCTGTGTGTTCAGAGCTGTGTGTGTTTAGCAGCTTTCTGTTTCACATTCATTCAAACACTTGTTGTACTTTGTGTTCAGAGTGTTTTCACTACGTGGTGTCAGGCCCATAAACACCCAGGTGTCAGTATCTGTCACAGGACTGAAGACCACCCCCATCACAGGATGCTGTAGGTGCATGTGCACCAGGCCCCACATCCTGCTGCAGCTTTGGAAGCCCCATGTGTGATTTAACACATAAAACTCCATGTTTTAGAGGAACGTGCAAGAAGTGCACGACTTTATAGGCTCTGTTTCTGCATCATTCAGAATGATCATGGCCGAAGTGGGCCTGAGTGCTGGCTGGTGTCCAGAGGTCGACCTAAAGCTGTGTCAGCATGCATATTTATGGCAGCAAATGTAGACAGACCCCTCTTGTCACCTCTGAGAAAGAGCTAAGAATAGCTTCACCCTCTGCCCAGCATGGATCACCGTCTGATTTTAGCCCGCTCCCCTTCTCATGTCGGCCTCGGTCCTACTCCGTCCTGCGCCCCTTTCGCTGCCTCTCACTATTTCCAGCCTCGTTTGGATCTCCGTGACCTCTCGGGTTTCAGTGCAAAGTGTTCCTCACGACATGAAGAGTCTGGGTGCTGCCTTGAAGACGGCCGCAAATAACATTTATTTAAATATATCAGTGGGACACGAGCAAGAAAATGCTGATCAAAAACTTCTAAATATAATTATATAACAGTATATTACATGATGTATATTCACTTTATTAGTTTATTGGTGGTTTGTCTAATCTGCAGCTAAAGACTAAATGTCTCAAGGATCTATTGATAATGTAAATTTTTCCACACCCAAATTAGTTACAACAGTGTTGGTCAACTGGTGGCCGCTACTAGTGATGGATGGTCTAGAAGGGATAACAAAGTTCATGCTCAATCATTCAGGTATCAAATCCATTATTCTCAGTCAGGTCATCTGGACAGTTTATTTATTTATTTATTTATTTATTTATTTATATCAGTTTAAATCTGTTGCCTGCATGGCTGCCTTGACTACTGATGAATAAATAATTGTAATTTTGAAATACTTTGATTTTGTAAACACATAAAAAAGATTTTTTTTAGATCTAAATGACCTATTATCGTAATAAAACAAGAATTCTTATCTTGAGCTGATATAAATAAACCACTATCCCAACAAAGCAGGCTTTGTTATAATTTTATAATAACAAAAATGACATATTATGAAATTTAGCCTCAATATCTAAGCATTCCCGTTCTTAGCTTTTGTGTATTCCCCCAAAATATTACAGAAAGAAGAAAAAATTGAACAGTTTAAAAAAAAAAAGGTAATATCTCATTATGATGGTTGCGATTAATGTACTGTATATAAAAGTGACGGGAAAATAATCAAAAACATAACTTCTACAGACTGACCCAATGCTGTGAAAGCCCACTTCCACCACTAAAAAGACAAAATTATTATCAAATAATATAAATATGACATTTAAAGTTCTAATTGTGAGTTACAGAGTCATGATTATGAATTTCTAAGTCATAGATACAAAGTTAAGATCATGTTTGCAAGACACAAAGTCATAATTATGAGTTTCAAGATAAGAATTAAGAGTCTGAAGTCATAAATATGAGATAAAATGACAGAATTATGAGCATTAAAGTCTTATTTACAAGATACAAAGTCATATTTACAAGATTCAAAATCATAACTACATGGAGTAGTCAAAATTCAGAGTTTCACACTTAAAAATATAAAATAAAGAGTTATAATTGTAAGTTGCAAAGTCATATTTACAATTTTCAGTCATAAATAGGTTTCAAAGTGATAAATGTGCGATACAAAGTCATAATTTAAGCTTGTAACTTTTAATTACAACTTTAAAAGCTATAAATTCAGTACACTATTTGACAATATTTGTCTTTTTAGTTGCAGGAAATAAAGCTTTTATAGCATTCACTGTCCTGCCTACAAACCCTAGCTCCCTTTTTGAGGGTCAGATGTTGAAGATGACGCCTACAAACTGGTCCCAGCAGGTCTCCCCTGCAGATCTCCAGGTGGCCACTGAGAGGCGCTGTTTCTACGTGTTTTTAGCGAGGGGTGGAGCTATCTAAGCCCCGCCTCTCAGTCCCTCCCTCTGCCTGCTGACTCCAGGCACCCAGTGAAGACGCCCTTAGCAACAACAGTTCAGTCGAATAAGAGACTTTTGCTGCTCCGAAGGATCTAACAGTGCGGGCTTTACCGCACTGGCTTCAGCTCATGATTTTATGCGAACCGGATTTGGTTCTTGAGCAGACATGGGGCTCGTGTGCAACGTGTCTGTTTTTATTAGCTAGCTGTGTTTAAGGAAGCTGTCCCGAAGGAGGACGCGTAATCCCGGGGTGCTCGAGGAGGAGAGTGGGGCAGCATCGCTGTTTGCTAACTACCGAGTCTGCAGACCGGGACGGGAATGGTGCTCTGGACCGACTCTTTGTACCGTCAGAGACAGGCGAGGGGTTCGAGGGCCAGGCCAGCGAGCTGTAATATTTGGACTCAAAGTGTTTTTCCTCAGAGGGAGCGGCTTCAGTCCGGACGGGTGATTTTTTGTGGTGCGAGCTAGCTGGCAGGCTAGCTGAGGGAGGCGACCCCCACTAACTGGCGGAGGCTTTTTTTCTTTCCAGACTGCAGCGAAGGCTATTGGTGCTGGTGTTTTTATTTATATCTATTTTACTAAAACTAAGATGAACCCGTCTGGAATCCAAGTGAAGCGCTAATTACCCCTGAATACTAAAATACTACGCGAGTTTTTTTTAATCGCAACTTTTTTGGACTAGCATTAAGACTTGACGAGAAAAGTTCCAAGTGGCTAAGTTTGCTAGCTGCTGCTAACAGTAAACATTTAATCTGTCCGGGACTTTTTTCTCCACTTCGGATGCTGGATTCACACAATAATTGCAATTATGATGATAATAAGCAGAAAACCAGAGGGCCCCATAGCAACAGGTAAAGTTTTGTTGTTTTTGTTACAAGTTGTTTCTCACCTTTTTTCCTTTTGTTTCCTACACTGAACAGTAAAACAGTCCGGATGTCAAAACTATTCCATCCATAACATTTTACGCAGGTACCCCCCTCCCCCTAAGTGTATGTAGATCTAGAGTTTGTTGAAGGATTTTGAGTCTGTCACAAGATTCATATTGTAAACATGTTTTCTTTTGCTTCGAGTCTCTGTGTGTCTTGAATATTTTGGACCATAATCCAGGAAGTGCAAACTTGTTTTCTCGTCACAGTTCATTATCTCTTACAGTAAATCTGTGAATTAGCAGGTTTGGAGTTGTACCATCTCTCTTATCGTTGTTATTATTTTATAACGCTTTATTGGCTCAGTGGCATCTTTATTATTAGGTGTACCAGGAAGTTTTGAAGACAATAATTGCTTTAGGGGACTCTTGTTAGGTGTGACTTGTGGTTAATACTGTGGGTGCAAATGGAGACACAGTTTGGAGTGCCAGGAAGAGGTGCAGGATAAAAAGCTGACTTTAAATCACACTTTTTATGACGCATAACCGACTGTGACTCTTGTTTCCTGGAGTTTTGTTTTTCGTCCCTGCGTGTAAAAGTCCAGTTATACAAAATAAAAAGGTTTTGGTTAAAGCTGTTTTCCACGGGATAAGTTGCTTGACGTAAGTACGGTGCAGGTGATTTGCAGAAGCGGGGTCTGTGTGACGTTGTGTAATATACCAGTTGCTGTGCTGTGCAGGTTTAATGCACCTGTATCCAGGCAGCAGGTATAATCTGTCCAGGAGCTCAGGGGACGTGGGCTCTGACGCATCTGCACATGGTTACAACTCTCAGGGAGCATTCAGGCGGAACTTCAAACGGGCCAAAACTGGGGTTGGCGTTAATATTATTGAAGCGCTTACTCGGAAATAAATGGCTCGGGGCGTGCACAACAGGTTCAGCTTCGAGTTGCTGAGGTATCAGCGTGCTTGTAAGCTAAGATGACCATTGAGGTAAACAGACGGCTGATGGGTGTTTGTCATTTAACTAACAGGCTTCTGTTACAGTAGGTGTTTGGCCCCATGCCACCGAGGTGAGCATGAAACTCTGCACCGTTCAATAACGAAGCCCCCACTTCTATCTCTGTTGGCTCGGACGCAGCGCACACCTGATGTGTGTGCCTTAAATGACTTGACCTGAATGGACAGATGGAAAGATGCTGTCGTCACAGAGGCATCTGTTACCCCCATTAGGCCAATAATACCACTTGCAACGCTAGCAATCTGGGACCCTAAGCCCCGTCTAAGCTGGTTGGGTCAGGGCCCTGGCTCTGGATACAATGTATTGGACACAATAGACACAATGGTGTATTTGCTAATAATGGCTTTTCACTGTAAATGTGGTGGCAGACAGCCATTCATTCCCACGGGGTGCTGCGGTTAGCTGACGGTATTCGTCAGGCTGTGACAAATCATTTGTTTTAGTGTTGAACTTATTATTTTGGAGATTGTAGGTTGATTGATGAGAAAATCAATGGGACTTTGCCTGGTTTCATCTATCAAAAGATCATATGGAGACATTTCAACACATTCTTTAGGCATTACCTCTGAACATCTTTTTTTTTTTAACCCTTTTTATGTTTCAGTTTGTCGCACTGATTTATTTGTTCACGTCTGCCCCTTCAGCACGCCATGGTGACGGCCTGTACGACTCTTACATGAGGACAGACCACATCCTAAAGGACGAAGCTGATGTAAACAGTCCTTCTGGGTTGCCCCCAATGCCCAAACACACAGTGAGTAAACGCAACACACACAGCCAGTGTTTCATGCACTGCGTCTGGAGACATCCTTTTCGTCAGAACGATATCCCCTAGTCAACCACGTGTCTCTTCATCGTACTCGTTCACCTCCTCCTCCTCCCCTCATTCTTTCTGTGCTGATTAGGAAGCTGATCTCTGGCTTTATCTCATCTCCATGAGAATACTGAAATCACATGTGCAATATTGATCAACTTCCTGAGGGCATGTGAGAATTATTGTTTTATCAGGCAGCTCTCTGGCTGCAGATTAGACAAAGTAAAGTTGCCGTGAGTGGGTTTAAAATGTTTACATCACAGAGGACATGAACATGCAGCATTGTACAATAGTTTACATCCTGTTTGGCATCCTCTAGTTCTATACACAGCTGGCCTCTTCATCATTATTTGTTGTCGTCTGGTTTAATCTGTAGGTTGGAACGCGTTTCCTCATGATACAGGAAACCTCGTCTGAACTAAGTTTCCAAGTTTCAACCGATACGTCATGTCTTTTGAAGTGAGCTTTTTTTAAAATGAAATGTTATAAACAGTTGCTGGCTTCCCTGTTATAGCTTTTTGAACAAGCTCAGTTTGGGAAAATGGAGTTTAATTCTGACTCGTTGACAAACTAACGGGTAGTCCAGGCCGGCCAATGTGGATTGCTGCCATCTTAGAACTATCTCAAGCGGTTCATGTTAAGGCTATTTTATAAACCTTTACATCATCAGTGGTTTTGTATGACATGGTTATTTACATAAATATCTTTTGAGTGTAAATAGCAGCAGCTGGCTGTAGCACTTTTGAATGCAGCCTGGGGCAATTTTTGCAGGAATATCATATTTCAGCTGGGATAACTGTGCAATCTGAAATTGACAGCAACAAATTTATTACTCAGAGCTGACATGAACCACTATGAAATGTTAGATTGTCTCATCTAATTAGTCACATTTAAACCCTGTTTCTTCAGACTGAGGTCTTTCAAAAGACTATCTGGAACAGGTAAGATAATAATTGTTTATAACCTTTTCACAAAACATAGCTTAATGCTGTTAACTATCCATTTCAGCAATTCGACCCATATATCATTGCGTTGGATTTTTTTGAATTCAGATCATGACCGGTCTGTTTGGAGCTTCACAGCTTGCTGTGGGTGTTTTGTTTTCCAATATATTCTATTAAAAACAAAAGTTCATCAGATGCAGAAATGGTGAGTTGCAATCCAGTTGGAGTATGTTGTTGTTGGGTTTTCTTATTTGAGCATCCAAAAACAGCGGTACACTACATCAGAAAGGCCGGTTTGATATATTGTAAAGATTTATTGGGCTTGAAAATGTGACCCACAAACAAATCAACCAATCAGCATCCCTCCGTCTCAATGCGCCGTCAGTGCTCGCACATAGTTAGGCCCCGTTTTCTGTTCTAGCCCTGCTTTTCCTCCTTCGTATCTTTCTGTCATGCTTACAAAGGTGCTGTCCTCTGGTGAATGTGACTGTAACCCGCCCCAGTTCAGCGCGTTTGGAGCGCCAACTGTGTCAGCCATGTTCAATATAAGAAGGGGAAAAAACTCTATTGAAACTATTTCAGGTAGACTCAGTTCTGCGCTGTAGAGAGGTGTACCCATCCTAAAGGTGGACGTTTTTTAAGTTTGGATCTGTTAGATTCAGGTTCGTTCTATTTGCATTAAGTTGTGGAACGCTGCGTGTGCCTGAGAGACAAAGAAAATCGTACTTGGGTGTCTCTGACAGCAAAGAGATTAGCTGTCCTCCATCTGCTACAGCACACAGATTTGCACTGGAGACTCATCGCCCTCAGTAATACCTGTGTTAGAGAAGATGTGCCCCTTCTGCTTCCATTCCTTTCCTCGTTCGGAAATTGTTATTCATTTTTTTTAATTTTACCCGTCGCTCAGTCAATTATTTACAGCGGCACACATGGAAAGCTTTGATTTTTTTTTGTGTGTGTGTGTGTGTCAGCGTGCACGTGTTTGCATGAGTGAAGAGGCTCGATCGATGATGTTTGCTGTGATATCGCTTTTGCACAACAGCTGCTTGTGGTTCAGCAGAAGGGATTCTTAAAAAGTTATAACTATATCGTTACATGTATGGAAGCCAACCCTGTCACCCGCCCGCCGCTATTTTAGGACTCAAACTTACAACACAAACACTTTGCCATCAGTCGAGTCCTCTTTCAAGGGAACGTGTCAACACCTACTTTAAAGAACCATTTCTTGTTGCCTTTAGATTGGCTTTCCACCTCCAAACCTCTCAGCAATCGGAAGAAAAACTTTTCGTAAGAAAGAAAAACGAGTAGAAACTCAGCGTCCTCGTCAGTGTTACTCTGCTGGAAGGTTGTCCCGACTTCATGTCAGTAAATCTGCACTGCTTCTATAGTCTAGGCATATAATCTAACTTTAATGACTATTTTTTTTTTCTTCTGCGCTCCATAATCATGTGGAGGGTTTTTCCGCTGGTGAGGAATAGAAGAAAAGGGCCGAGAGTGAGGAAGAATGAATTTTTGGGGTTGCAGAAATTCACGAGTTACTGGAAAGACTCGAAGTCTTGTTTTCAAACCCTTTACAGTGACACATGACTTCACGTTTTGTGTTTGTGAGCAGATTTGAAGTAGTCGGGTAGCCAGAATCAGCAGTCCTCAACTGATATATATATTTTTAATTGCTTCAAAAGGTTAAATATGAGGATTAACAAACATTTTGGTGTTTATTAGTCAAATAACGCCTTAAAGTTTGATGCTGTTTTTAACAGCTGTTGGGCGAATAATGAGGCGAGTTGCTCCACTCTGGTTTTGGTTGGGGCTGGGTCTATGGCCTCTGAGGCATTTACAGTCAGACTGGATTTAAATCCAGTTGTGCCAGTTCACAAAACCGAAAGCTGCCTCACGCTTCCGCGTTCAACGCTTCTAACTCGAGAGTTGGTTATTGGTATTTATGTTTACGTAAATTAAAACCTGAAGCAGATCCACTGCACTCAAAATACAAACTGACGACGCGTTTAAATGAATCCGCTAAAGCACCTTTTATGGTATCATATTGAGAAAACTGAAGATTTGGTCATTTAAATGTTGATTATAGCACTTTTAGTACACAAGTTTTATTTTTTTGTTCATACAAACCTTTTTTTTACAGTCTGTGCCATCTGGATTTCCTATTCTTATTATTTTAAGTAACTTTTTTTTTCCAAATAAATCTTTATTCAAGCAAATGACAAGTATACAACAAACGATTGGAGTATACAGAAGAACACAACACTTCTATGAACAACCAGGAGTGTTGATTAAACAAATATTTGCAAAGATTTACAGAAATTGTCCTAAGGGCTTTTTGTTGTTGGTCTGTTATTAATTTTACATATAGATCCACATCCTTAATAAAATAAAGAAAGCATGGCGTTTCGTTAGTAAATTTACTTTCATGAATGTAAAATTTGGCCAAAAGAATTAGTAAGTTTATTATATAAAAAAAAAAAAATTAGCATCCTTTCTGAGGAATCTAAAAAAACAAAATAAAACATTTTCCCAACGTAAGGAAAAATTCCTTAAAATATTGTTATTAATAAACCTGCTACACTCCTGTCGCCGTTTCTTTTAAGTTACTTCTTATCCTTCCTTTACAGGTCATTAGTAACAAGGTTGTGACAAAGGATCAGGTGATCATACGCGGTGGCCAGCTGAAGGTCAAGCACCTGTATGAAGACTCCACCATTACCCGAAAAATCAACACCATAACCACAGCGATCGCTCAGAACGGTGGGAGCACTGGCCAGACGCCCACCAAGTCTGCCCCCGTCTCCAGCCTGTCCAAGGAGCACAGTGTGGACAGGTGAGGAAAATGCAATGGCTTTTTAAAAAACAGGCAAAACAACTAGAGTTACGTTATTTTATGCTGATCAGTCGTACTGCGTGTTTGTTTTTTCAGCACTGAGTCCAGTAAGGGCTCGAGCAATTCTTCTGGCTCACACAGCGCTGGAAAGGGAGGAAGCAAGGTTTACGGCCCGTTGACGCCCGACCAGGCTTTGAGACTTTACCGATCTCAGCTCACCACCCTGGAGCAGACAGAGATCCACTCCTACCCAGGTGTTTACTTTGTGGGACCCAATGCCAAGAAAAGGCCTTCCGTCGCTGGAGGCAACAACAACTGTGGTTACGATGACGAGCAGGGCGGATACATCCATGTTCCCCACGACCACCTGGCATACCGATACGAGTTCCTGAAAGTGAGGCAACTTTTGTTATTCACTTTAAAGGTTTGACTTAAAAAAAAAATAAAAATTTCTGTTACTCAAGATTATTTTCTTCTCTCTCTCTCTTTTCCAGATAATTGGTAAAGGTAGCTTTGGACAGGTGGCTAAAGTTTACGATCACAAAATGCATCAACACCTGGCTCTGAAAATGGTGCGCAACGAGAAGCGCTTCCACCGGCAAGCGCAGGAAGAAATCCGCATCCTGGAGCACTTGCGCAAGCAGGATCGTAACGGCACCATGAATGTCGTGCACATGCTTGAAAACTTCACCTTCCGCAACCACATCTGCATGACCTTTGAGCTGCTGAGCATGAACCTGTATGAGCTGATCAAGCGCAACAAGTTCCAGGGCTTCAGTCTGCTTCTGGTCAGGAAGTTTGCACACTCCATCCTGCAGTGCCTCGACGCCCTGTACAGGCACAGGATCATCCACTGCGACCTGAAGCCAGAGAACATCCTGCTGAAACAGCACGGCCGCAGCGGCATCAAGGTAAAACCTTCACGTCCCCGACGAGGTTTCAGAGATTCCTTTTCGTGAACGCGCTGCTCATTTTTTCCGTTACGGTTTTCTTCCTCGTCTCTGCTAGGTGATCGACTTTGGCTCCAGTTGTTTCGAGCACCAGCGAGTGTACACGTACATTCAGTCTCGCTTCTACCGAGCCCCGGAGGTGATCCTCGGTTCTCGTTATGGTCTCCCCATCGACATGTGGAGCTTCGGCTGCATCCTGGCCGAGCTGCTGACCGGGCACCCGTTGTTCCCCGGCGAGGACGAGGGCGACCAGCTGGCTTGTGTCATGGAGCTACTGGGCATGCCCCCGCAAACGCTCCTGGAGCAGGCCAAAAGAGCCAAGAACTTCATCAATTCCAAGGGCCACCCCCGCTACTGTGGAGTCAACACCCTGCCAACGGGGGCCACCGTGCTGACGGGGTCCCGTTCCCGCCGCGGCAAAACAAGGGGCCCTCCGGGCAGCAAGGACTGGAGTGTTGCACTCAAGGGCTGCGAGGACCCCACCTTTACTGACTTCTTAAAGAAGTGTTTGGACTGGGACCCCTCGTCTCGCCTCACCCCCAGCCAGGCCCTCAGACACCCCTGGCTGTATCACCGGCTTCCCAAACCCCTCCCCGAGACTGAGAAGAGCCACGGGGCCACTGTGAAACCCCTCGCCGAGCACCACAGCACTTCCTTTCCCTCCATCCTGGCCAAGGGGGGGTCGGGTTTAGCCACCACAGCTGCCAGCAACAAACTGAAGAGCACCATGATGGGAGATTCGGGGGAGGCCATACCTCTTCGCACAGTCCTTCCTAAACTCGTCTCCTAATAAAGAGAGAGAAACCTCCTCTTTGTGTCCACGCGCTCCTCCGGAGGAGAAGTGGTTTTAAGACTCGTTTGCTTGTTGTTTTTATTTGTTTTCTACTGAGAGGTGTCGACACCCCCAGTTCCTGGTTTAATATTAGCGAAACACAGACGAGGAAAGATGATAAAAATAATTTTAAAAAAGCATTAAAGTTTTTATATGGTGGCTGTAAATGTGCAGTTCACAGCCGTTGAGAAGGTTTGATTTAGATGATGCTTTGACGCCTCGTGTGATCAGACGGCTTCGATTTGGAGAAAATGTTTTTAACCACGATTTCACACGAGCGTTTTGTGTTTCAGAGAAAACGCTCGAGCACACCTGCACTGTCACTCGACCCATTTCACACACGACACCGCCATTTTCATACGCGTGAAACTTGAAAAGGGCTACAGAGATTATACTCTTATGTTAGACTTGCCAGGAAGATAAGTTTATAGGACGAAAAGAAATCACGTTTTAGTGTTTTGAGCAAAAATCTGCTCAAAACACAAAAAAAGTCTTTTAAACTGTTTTTACAGGATTGGCTTTATTTGTAGTGAAGGCGTTCATTTTGTCATATTTAGATATTCTGTCCTGCCTTTTCCTGCTGCCCTGGTGCTTGCACGTCAGCTCATCCTTTGTGTGACATTAACGTGTGCGTTTGCTTTAGCGCTGCTGTTCCAGATAAGAAAAGGGCATGGAACATCCTATTTACAGCCTTACCCTCGACCTCCTTCTCCTCTGTGGAGAATAAAAAGAGGGGAAGGGGTTGGGGAGGACAGTAGCTCCGCTTAAACTCTGTCACGAAGGCTCAGTACTTCACGGCTGGTTTTTAGGAGAAGTCCGCACATTTTAACACCCGTCAGGTTGTTGTTGAACATAGGCCTGTCGCGATAAACAATAAATCAATTAATCGCACGATAAATGAAAATGATCGACCTCATTTTTATTTATCTTCTTGTCTCTCTCGTTCTACTGAAGACACTCGATGACAAAAGGCTCAACTCCGGTGCTCTTCACTGACCCCTCCTTTGCTCTTTAAATTCCATTTTAACCGTCCAAAATCACATTTTTGGCTCGTTAAAAGCAGCTTAGCTACGAGCTAAGCTAACCGGCCGACCTCGGGGGGGGGGGGGGGACCTCCGTCTTGTCGAAGTTCCAAAATTCACGGTTGAAACCCGTGCCTTTGTTTAAATAGTTTTTTTCTCTGCAAAAAGAAGCTGAGAACTTGTTTACTGATTTTTTTTAAATATTAAAAACTTTGTGAAAAATGCTATGCCAAAGAGTTCAAACCACACCGAGCGTCCGCCATTTTGAGAACCGAAAAACGGGAATGAGAGACAGCCCATCAGTGTTGCCAGTTGAGAAATGTAGGATTATCGTACTAGAGACATAAAATTATCGTATTTTGAGGGAAATTATCGTACACCTGTCATAACCAGAATAACAAATCTATTGATGCACTATAGTAGTGATGGGTCCACTTTCAGACCGGCTCTTCTTCTTCTTTTCCTCACTCATGGGGCGGGCGCAGCAAACTATTCAGCCAATCATGGCCGTTGTTCTGAGGCAAACACGTCACTCGTAGGTAACATTTAGAAAAGCACGATTGGCTGGAATTTCTAGCCAATCGTTCATCGGTTTGTGGACACAGATGCCTTCAGGGTTCACAAAACAAAATCCGACAGACAGTTGCGACGGGCTGATGACGACTAATTACAACCACACATTCATGGAATGGTCAAATTATCGTATATTTGGCCTTTTTTGGAATTATTGATTGTACAGAGGGCAAACTTGTCGTACAAATACGATAATTATCGTACACCTGGCAACACTGCAGCCCATGTCCCGTCAAGGGGCTTCCCTTCCATTTTTCTTAAAGAGACACACTGCTCACTCCCTCACTATCCATCCTTCGGTTCAAACCCTCTTAAACTGCAATCTGGTGGTCGAAAAAAGGTACTGCACTCCAAACAAATTAAACATTTTTAATTAAATTTGACAGTAATTACTAATTATTGTCAAATTTCAAACAGTTTTATCGTTTATCGCAATAATTTCTGAGACGATTAATCGCCCAGCAAGATATGTTATCGTGACGGGCCTAGTTGAACACGTGGAGGTTGTTGGCGGCTGTTTTCCACAACAAACGGATAACGCGAGGCGAGGAAGGTCCTGAGGTGTTAGGAAGAGCAGGTTTGGTTTATTTGGAGCCAGAATTCCTCGTCTCTCGACGAGGGGTGGGGGGTGTTGGTAGACGACAGGCCAGTGACGAGAGAGAGGTTTCGAAGGTACTGAAGAATGAAGTGTTTCTCAGGGAAGCATCCTTTTACTGTGACTCGCATCCAGATGCATGCAGTTCTGTCCACTGAGAGCGAGAGGCTACGCTTCTGATTTTCTGCAGGGTGGGGGGTATATGCATGCACCACATTCTGACCTAGATTCACTCAGCTCCCCCCCACACTCTCTCTCTCTCCTCCCTCTCGCTCCGTCTCATCATGTAGGGCAGGGAACCTCTTTTAACGTGCAGAAATAGTGAATTATGGTGCTGTCCAGAACGGACACGACAAGCTGTCAGGTGCATGTTGATATGGACCACTCCGTTTTTAAAGAGCGTTTTCTCTCGTCCCTCCTATTTCTAAGTGACACCGTCAGGGATTTTTAACTTGGTCTCCATTTTATATATATATATATATATATATATATACACACATAGAAGTGGTTTTTAATGCTTTACACTCCAGATTGGTAAAAGGATGTAAAACGTGAACGGAGGAGACGGTGATGTATTAACGTGTTTGTCGGCGGCTGCTTGGTGTTCGGCATGAGATCACAGCCTGTTCTAAGACAGAGCGACTACGACAGAAAACCATGTACAGTAATCAAATGAAGTTGTGATAGTTTCTTTTTCTACAAAATAAAAAAAAAATTACTGTTTTAGTAAAACCCGCTGCGTTGGGGTGAGTTTTTGTTCGGAGGTGTGCGTGTGTTGTGACTGAGCCGGTGGATGAACGGATGAATAATCGCTCCTCAATGGCCGGGTTCATTTCAGGGTGTTTGTCATTTGACACCTGCCGTCTGTTACGAAACAAAACGGATTGTGGCCCAACTCAGATGAGCTGAATTGGATTTCAGGCACTGACGAAGAATAACGGGAAACCTGCCACTTCCTTGTTATGCAAGATAATAGAATAATAAAACTCACGATAAGACGTATTTTCAGCAGAGGTGGAAAAAGTACTGGAAATTTGTACTCAAGTACAAGTGCTGTTACACTGCTTAGATTGTACTCAATTACAAGTAAAAGTACTGGTGTTATAAAAATACTCAAAAACGACTCGGAGTATTAATTACTTTTTAACCACTTGATGTTTCATTGTGTTGTCAATAGAAGGCGTTCAGTTCGATTTACTGGACATAATAATAGTTACATTCAAAGCACATTTCTCAGACGAACAATAAAGTATAGAAAAATCCAAATACACTGCGAACGAGTTGTCCTTTGACGTCGTAGGTAATTGGCGCGTTCCTGATCAGAGAGCCTTATCGGTACAAAGATATAATATTAAATTACGTCCGTACTCGGTAGCGACTTCTGAGTTTAAAAGTAGTGAAGTAGATTACAGTTGTACTTAAGTAAAATTACACATTTGAAAGAAATACTCGTGAAAGTACAAGTACCCAAAAAAATCGACTTAATTACAGTAACGTGAGTATTTGTAAATCGTTACTTCCACCCCTGAGTTTCAGTCATAAGGTTGTAAGATCTTCAGATGGACTTCTTTTAAAGTCAACCACTAACTCTTTTTACCGTATTCGTGTAGGTCTGACTTTAGATTCATTAACCCGAACGTTCTTCGAGGGAATGCCTGTCCCTCGCTGCAGTAACCAGGTGGCGCAGTGTTTTGCTGTTAATCTGATCTGAGGCGACACGTGAAACCGATCCAATAAACGAGGAGGTGGAGAGAGTGGGTTCAGGAGCACAATGAGGTGGTTCTGGGAACTAACACTGGACGTCCTTTGTGTCTGTTTGGTCACCCTTTGTGACTCAAAGCACCAACTGCCCCAAAGTAAGACTGAGTGACTGCATTGTCAACTAATAAAAGTAATGCGATGTGTTCTTCCCAACCTGAAATTTGTTTCTTTTTTTCAGTCGGGTGTAAGAAAGAGTGGAAAATACCCGTCCAGATAGGCCTATCATCCATGTGCATGACTCATGGGTGTTCTCACTTGCAGGCAGGTGCCTGGAGCGAAGGAAAAGACATGCGTGTACACACATACACAGACGAGAGGAATGGGGAGGAGGAGAAACTGGTTGAACAGCATTATGTCATGCAGAAAACAAGATACGTGTGTGAGGAGGTGGTTGAGTATTTGTAAAAGGACTGTGGCTCTTAAAGCCAGCTGATCTCAAACAGTTCGGATCTTTTTTTTTTTTAGTTTCTGGGTGTGGCTCCTGCTGTCCATCAGCTCGAGGTCTGTTTGCCCTCACCGACGTCGTTATTCAAATAACAAGCGACGCCGAACAAACAAACTCTCTGTGAGGGCAGGGGTGTCCGATCCTGCTCCTCCAGGGCCACCCCTCCATGTTTTAGAGGTGTCTCTGCTCCAGAACACCTGACTGAATCAACGGGTGCTCAACGTTCAGCCACGGGTGTGTTCGAGCAGGGAAACATGTAAAACATGTTAGTAGCACGCAAGGCCCAGGACTGGACTGGATCGCAGTCTTAAAGAAAGAGTTTTGAGGTGGGATTTTATGGAAAGGTTATGAACTATTAACGTCTTACCTGTTATACCTGTTGGGGGCGTGGTGGTGCAGAGGTTAGAGAAGGTGGACCGGTGATCGGAAGGTCGCCAGCATGACCGGACCGATAACATCAAAATGTGGGTGGGAAAGGTGAAACACCCACACCTGCCTCCACCCTCATTTGCCCCACCCTGGGCTGTTGAGAAAGACCCCCAACCCCCACCATCTGCTCCCCCAAGCGCCCTAGATGGCAGCTCTCTGCTCCACACAGAGGGCTGTGGTAGATCAGTGGTCTGTGGTTGTTTCAGGAAGTGCATCTGGTGTAAAAACAATCGCCAAGTCTTCATATGTTAGTTCGCTGTGGAGACCCCTGAAGAAGGGAGCAGCCGAAAGAAGAAAAAATGTCTTACCTGTTATAGATAATTCTTTGATTGACATCAATTTGAAGAAATGACCAGACTGATGAACTAATGGCTAGACTTTTTGTACCTGCTTTTACTTTCCAGATCTCCAGGAGGTGGTGTCTGTCTCTAGCAGTCACTGTCTGAGAGGTGGGGGACACCCTGGACAGGCTGCATGTCCATCACAGGGACACAGAAGCCGCTTTGCCATTGATAAGTGCGACTCCACTCTGCTCTCACCTCCTCGGTTTAGGTGAGCTGCCACTGTGACTCGTGGTTCGCTCTAGGCGGGACCGTCACTGCAAAGTGGACGGGATCATAACAGGTCTGCTTGTT